ATGGGAGGGTATGAATAAATCTGAGGACACATCTAAAGAGTTCTGTCACTATTATCCACTTTTTATATCCCTAAAGGTCACATGAGCTGTCATCCAACTTAACTAAATACACTTCTCATAGTACAATGGCTGCTATGTGTTTATAATTAGTGCTTTTATGAATGAAACCAATCAGAGATGTAGAAATGTGGAATATATTTTATTTGTCATTGTCCTAAAAGTTGCTTAAAGTGTAAAACCTACATTAAAAAAAAGAGGAAGAAGGGTTTTCTTTCACATCATCATCTAACTTGGGACACGTTTAATTTACAGTTATCGTCAACCTCTGTATCTTTTGCAGCGACACATGGAAATCCCAGGATGATGGTAAATGCACGGTGTAACAGCATCACAAATACAGCACCACAGGTCACACCAGAACAAAAAAAACCCTACAGATAGTGAATGGGCCAAGAGTGAGATTCACTTCATATAAATTCAGTTTCATTTCTCAGAGAGACGTGTTTCAGTTTAGAAGTAGCAGCAAACAGCTCAGGGAAAACGTGCTTTGTTCTCTTCTTTTGAGAACTTGTGGATTTAAATATTTCTGGCAGTTTTAACATCACAGTTAAGCTTTAACTCAAAATCCCTCCATTTTATATGAAAAAAAAAGGATAGAGTTTGAGGGTCATTTCAATAAGCTGTGAAATTAAAGGCTTGAGTCCACGATGCAGAATGAGGAAACGTGAACTGTCCAAACACACAGACTGGGTTAAGTTTCGTTTACCGGCTAGCTGTCGCAGATCTGCAGGTGTGCATTGTTTCAGATGTGGAACATACCAGAAGGAACGTTCCGATGACAGAGGCTCTCATCACATCGGGTGGTATTTAATTACAGTCTATACTGCACAGTAATAAAAGCCGACACTCCAAACGTAGTGGGCTCAGGAACCCACAAGAAAAGCTTTAAGGTGTTGAATTAAAGAGGAAGAAAACGCGACTGAAATATTACTGCTGCTATTAGAGAGGAAATTCAACTGTGATTCATGCTACATGCAAACTCCTAAACTCCAGGTAATGGTTTCATATTGCCATCGTCTGTTTTTTCATTTGCATCTTTGTGCAGATCCATCAAAGGCACACACTGTGGTTGATCTGCCGTCTTGACTTCCTGCAAAAAAAATCTGGTTTTAAAACGACAAGAAAGTAAAACTAACATTCTCCAGTGCACACATAAAACAATGACAATCCTACCCTCACTTACAGTAGTTTGTTGAGTGATAATCAAGGAGGATAATTGAGCCTTCATACCTGTACTTGGTTATTCCTGTTGAAGCTCTCAGCTGTATCCTGGCATCCACTGCACCGAATGCAGGAAAGCATCCTGGACACTGTGGCGGTCTGAAAACAAACACAGACAGCACGTTAGTAGATGACACGTATTTTTATAATTTTGTTCTAAAAAGACAAATTCATAAAAAGTGGCCTGAACGGGAAGCCCTAATATTTGTTAGCATAACATTTGACTTCACAAGACAGAAGTTTTGCATTGAGCTCCACATGAGCTGCTCGACTTTAGACTGCGGTAACCAATAAGAGCGCCTTAATGGGGAATCCTGCACACAGAGATCTGAACCTAGGACCTTGTTCAATGACGTTATAGTCCTGGCTGTCATATCACATATAAAATGAATATGGTACTAAATATAACTAAATCTTTGAGTGTGAGAAAGCCACGGGAGACGACCTCTGTACGGTCTCTATATTATCTTATTGTAGTGTAACACTCACTCTGCGCTCGGATGGGTCCTCCACTTCCTTTTTTTTCAAGTCCCACCACAACAGACCCTCTTTAATTTGACTCCTCTTTGTTGGTCCTGTTGTAAGAGAGAAAGAAAGTCGGCTCACACAGTGTAGTACTCTCATACGGCACCACTACGAAATACAGGATGAGCAGTTGTTTTGGATGTAGCTGTAAATGTAAAGTGCTGAGTTCTCAACAATGTGTCATCATGACTCAGCAGAAAACACAACAGCAGCTCATCATCGATGTGTGTTAAGTGGTGATGAACGATATTAAAATTTCTGGCCAATATCCGATGTTTAGATTTCTGATATCGCTGATAACCAATAATACCGTTATTCATTTTTTTGTTCACACTGAAAAATTTGTATAAGTAAGCACTGTGAGAACGTGAAAACTATTCTAAAAAAAGCCCAAATTAGACCACATAGTCTTCTTTATTACGTAACAAAAGTAAAACATATTTAAACATATTTTAACATATTTAAATCCAGGAACATTTAAGTAAAAACTGCTCAACAGCAGCAATATCAAATGTAGAGATGAAGGCACTAATGTTAGACAATCATTGGTTTTTCACGTCAGCTAAATAAACCGATATATAAAAAAAAAAAACAGAATAAACCCTAAAAAAAACCCCTAATATCGGCCGATATCGATGTGGATGATACCGATATATCGTGCATCCCTAGCATTAAGACTTTCTATCTTTGTACCTGTTGCATAGCTCACGATCAGCCCGACGAGGATGACCGAACTGGTCGCCATGGCACCGAAGTAGAGGTAGGACACGGAGTAGAAGTTAAGCAGGCCGCTAGTTTTGGAAAAGACAAGGTTAGAAATAGTTCCCATTTTTAAAATACTTCACATGTTTCTGTTAACAGTATATGACAGTAAACTGAGTGACATCTTTCTCCTTGTAGTGCCCTTTGAACAGGAATGAAAATCTTTTAATATTAAATTTGCTTCAAGACGCCCACATCTGGACTGGAACAGTTTTCTTTCCTCTTTTGGTGTCGCCACACTTTTTAAATTACCTTTATACGACTGAACTGAACCACACAAAACTAAAAACCATATAAAAGGAACTGACAATAAATAAATGAAGAGTTCATTTGCAAAAACAGATAACTCCATTTTAGTAGATTTTCAGAAAACTTGTTTTTTTGTTGTTAGCTTGAGATAATATTGATCAAACTGAAGCTGAGTGGATTTGACTCAGTCGAAATGACAAAAACAGAGATAGCTTAAGTTTGATTGATGTTGTCTCAGGTAAACGATGGAGAAGTGGGTTTTGTGAAGGTTTGTGAAGATGGAGTTATCTCCTCTTGCAAATGAACTCTTCACATAACCGAGCTAAGCCTGCCACCACACCAAACCAGTTCAGAAAACGCAATGTTGATTGATTTTTCTTTTCTCATTTCTACTTTTAGCATAAGCTGTTGTTATCAGCACGGATATCCTTCCATAAAAATATATGATATAAACCAGTGTAAACTACAGCAATAAAAGCAGACAGCAGTGTGCCAGTCTGAGCCTGGCTGAACTCACTGACCCCAGGTCATCGGGGTGAAGCGGGATGGAGAAGGACGGCTGGTCCTGGTGGGAGCTGCTGTTTACGGTGATGTTGTGAGCATCACACTCGTGTACGTAGCTGGGCAGGACGCCCATGGTCTCCTCAGTGGGCGGGTACAGAGTCGAACCTATAGCCAGCCACACAGAGACACAGAAGCCCACGATAATCCCCGAGAAGGCCCCCTGGAAGACATGGAAGAATCACTTTGTTGAGATGTTGTTGAGCATCTATGGACAGCTAATCCAGTCTTTTGCTATTTATGCATACCATCATCCTGAACAACACACCTCAGTTCTTTGGTGATAAACTCGTGGTTTTTATCATGGGTATGTGACACGTCAAGTAAGCTCTGGTCTTCTGGTGGCGCCGAGTCCACAAACAAACTTTATGATGAGAACTGTTCTTTATAGAGCGGTCACAGTTTGGAACATGCTTCCTACCAGTGTTAGACAGATTTAACATAGATATTCCTTTAAGAAGTCACTAAAACTCACATGTAGATTTTGGACTTTTATTTTCTTTACTCGGTGCTGTGAGACATTTCTTTAGATTTTCTTTTTTTTTCCCAAAACTTTTCTTGTCTTAGTTTTGGGTTGATAATGAGTTATGTTGTCTCACTGATATTCTGTGATTTTTAATTGATGTATTTTTAATGCTGTTTTGTGAATCTACCCAAGGAAGACGAGCAGCCACCTTGTGGAAGCTAATGGGGATCCAAGTACAGAATAAAGAACCAGTGTCTGAGAGTTGACTTTGCTTCTGTAGTAAGTTAGTTTATGTACCATTAACACACTCTGATCTGCATGTTGGACGGCTGGTGAAGGCGCTAGAAGCCTGTGCAGCTTAGAGAATCAGTGATTTCAATAATTTAGTCACATTTCTCTGAAGCAGTAATCTGGTAAAAACCTGTGCAATCAGAAGAGAAGAGCTTCAGAGTTCCAGTTGTGAAGGAGTCAATCTGTCTTCTAGATTTATAGTATAACAGGAAAGAGGTGGAGGAAGTGTTTTGTTTTTGTTTTTAGTTGTCTTTTTATGGGTCAGGAGCACAGATTACTGTATGTCGGCAGTAAAACTTCAAAAAGAAGATGCAGGGAAACGGGAGTTAACGGGATGTGACAGATCAGTCAGACCTCCATACATGGAAGAAGTTCAGGAAGTAAATGTGTGTTCCAGTATATTTCCAAAGAAAAACCGTGTGGTTATCGGAACAAGATAAGTCTGCTGAGAAAAATGTGTGGAGGGTGTGAAAGGTGTCCAGGGAGGAATTAGGTTAATGATTTGACTTGGTTTTGTTTAGTTTTAGATTACTTTGAGTTTCAGCAAGGAAGTAAGATGGAAAATACAATTTTCTTTATAGCTTATAAAACTTATTGACCTTCTGACACACTGTCAGCATCACTGGAGGCCAAAAATGAGCCACAAATAAAATGAACAGAAGCATTCACAATAAAACAGTACATGGTTTGTGTTTCGGAAAAACCCACATGAAGTGATTTCAATGGATTCAATTAATAAATATATTTAGTTTATTTAATTTTGAAGCTGCTTTAGGACGACACATTTTACCTTTTTGTATGTGTAAAAGTCAACTGGTCTGACTAACACAGA